TGGGGCACTCCCCAGCAACCCTGTGGTCTGCACTGTGGCCAGAGTGAAACCTCCGGGGGGACCTCCTCTGTCTCGAGTCTCAGACATAGGAGCCTCCGCCTGCTACTCAGAGTCACCACGGCAGTGACCGTCCATGGCTGGCTGTGTGGCCACTCGACTGAGGGAGGGTGGGAAGAATGCACTGAGCAGAGCGACTGCTAAATTTCTGGCAAAGGGCAAGCGGCTTTATATTCAAACTGGTCTGACAGGTTGGTGGCAAAGGGCTGCCGAGGCCTGCACAGGCTTCTCTTCTGGAGAAGGAGGGCCTTTGTGAAGGCTCCTGACTTCTTGATCAGGCCGTATTTCAGGCCCCAGGCCGTCACTCAGCATCCACTTCAGTGTAGGCGGCTGTGCCGGGGGGGAGCATTCCTGTCTGAGATGGAGCTGGCCCAGCCATGGCCCCCGCTCTGCCCAGATGTGTGTCCAGACCTGGCCCAGTAAGACCTGCTTAGCTGGCAGATTAAAAACCCGGCCTAGAGGCCAGCAGATGGTGTGGTGGTTAAGGCACCGGACTCTCACATGGTCAATTGTAGTTCGAGTCCTGGACCCAGCAGCTTGAAACTCATGCCAGACATATGCATATGCATGCCCCAAATCCCTAGAGGAGGGGCCAGCAGATGGCCTAGTGGTTATGTCACTGAACTTCCACATGACGGACTGTGGTTCGAGTCCTAGACCTAGTGGCTTGAAAATCGTGCAGGTCATGTGTGTGTGCCTAAGATCCCAGGAGAAGAATGGAGGAGAAACTGTGGTGTGGCCATCCTCCTTGGAGGGTGATTTCTCACTTTCCCTCTCACTGTCTCTGTCTCTCTAGTGAGTGCACACACCCTATGGCAAAACAAAACAAAACAAAACAAAAACCAAAAAAAAAACTTTTTAAAAAAATCTCTAGAGGAGAATGGAGAAGAAGGGATTGCGGCATGGTCATCTCCCCTGGGGTGGGGGTGGGGGTGATTTCTCTCTCTCTTTCTTTCTTTCTTTCTGTGTTTCTGGCAAGTGTATGCACCCTATAGTAAAAATCCCTCTTTAAAAACCAAATAAATAAAAGTGCAGCCTAGGTGCCGGGGGTCGCCTGGTGACCGTGACTAAAGAATCCTAGCAAGGTGCAAGCCATTTAAAACCCACTGAGGAGAAATTCCTGGAGTAGTGGCAGCTCTGTCCTGAAGTCATTACAGAGGAAGGCGTGTGAGTCTGGGGGCACACCACAAAGGATCAGTTTCTAGTCCCCCTCCTCCTGGCCAGGTAGACTCTTCCAATGCCCGGCCCCTAGCACTCCTACTCCAGGAAGCCCTCCTGAATCTCCCCACCCTTCTCCATGTCCCGCTGAGCCTGCAGGTGCTGAAGCTGTAGCAGCCAGCCCCTGGCAGGCAGAGCAAAGGAGTGGTTACACGAACACTGTAATGACTGTCTGGAGTCGGGGAGCGAACCATGGCCCTGCCTGCCCGAGCCCCTGAGTGGGCCATCACCCCCCAGCCTTACCTCTTCAGCCGTAAACAGGAACAGCCTCTACTGTGTGCAAGGCTGCATGAGAACTCATGCGGGCATGGCCCCAGCCGGGGTCACGAAGTCGCTACCGCCACCTCCTCTTGTTCCCTCCAAGCCCCACAGCTCTCTGTCTTGACTCCAGGCCCTCATGGAGCCTCCTCCCTCCCCCCCACCCCCAGCTGGCAGGTATGGCAGGAATGAGGACCCTCACGGCGCTCCCCGACAAACTCTGAAGAGGGCCTCCACCATGTTCGAATGAAACCCACTGCCCGTCTGCCCTTCCCACCCCTTCCGGCCACTCATTCTAGACTCCATGTCTGTCCCTGCCCCAGGGCCACTGTTCCAGTGGCTCCTTCTGCCTGGGACGTCCCCTCCCCGAGCCGCCTGCACGGGGAGCTCCTGCTCTCTGCTCAGGTCTCCAGAGCTCAAGGGCTCTCCCCAGGCCCCTCAGCTGCAGGGCTGTCCCCACGTACACAGCTGCTCTCTGCACACCTCCCTGCTTTTCTCTCTTCTGTCTTTGGAATTGTCAGAGGAGAGGGAGGACGCACCTCTCCATGGGCCATGGTAACATTGCAATCCCTTCTCCTCCATTTCTCCATACACACACACACACACACACACACACACACACACGGTATTTTTCAAACCACCAGGACTGGGATTTGAACCGTGGTTGTCCATGTGGGATCTGGGTCCCTTAACCACTAGGCTATAGGGCTGGCTGGTCCATGCTTTGTTCCCCTGCACTGTTAAACATGTCCTGTGTGCCTGCTCGTTCACTGTTCTCTACTTTTCTCCCATGAGGCTCATGGGCCCCTTTGGGGTGGGGACCTCATTGTCTTGTTCCCTGCTGGTCCCAGGACCTGGAACTAGCCCGGCCCAGCTGGCACCCGAGGACCGTGTGCTGGTGAAGGGCTTTGTTGGTCAAGGGTTTCCATCAGTCACTGTTCCTGTGTGTGGCTCCTATGCACCCGCTGGGTGGCTCACCTGTCCTGCCTGGCTAGTGCCAACAGGATGTGACTCTTTTACCAGCCTGGGACCACCTTGGGGTGACTATGTCAGTCAAAGATCTTATGCACCCATTAGGCTGGGTCTCCCTCCACTGTCCCTGTTCTAGGCAGGTGGCACTTAGTCCCCTCGCAGGGAATCAGGGAAAGGAGATTGAACCATTTTTTTAGTAGGAGGGAGCTGGCAGCCCCTTCCCAGGCAGGAGCAGGACTTTGGCTCGAGCGATGGCAAAGGGGAAGGGGACAGGATCCCATGGTCATGGAGTTCCCCGCCAGCAGGGAACAGGGATAGAAACCAGCGTCCCAGAGCCACTTGCTCAGAAGGTGCTCTTGTGGAGCAGTCCAGGCAGCTGGGACCCCTCGGGACTAGCTCTGTCTATGCCCTGCTTGCCGAGTGACCCCGGCCAGCCCCTTGCCCCCTCTGAGCCTCAGCTTCGTCATCTGTAGAGTGTTGTGGCCGTGCAGAGCCTCCCCCAGGACCAGGCTCCTGGAAACCCACCCACCCGCAGACATGGAAGAGTTTCCCGTGCTCCTCTCGCCCCAGCGGCCATCTGTCCAGGCTGCAGTGCCAGGTTGGGAACAGCCTGCCTCTGTCCCCTCCGTGTCCACTTCCCGCCACTAGGTGACTCAGACCTAGGGGTGGAGCAAGCAGAAGGGTCACCTCAGGCATTCTGAGAGCCACAAAGGGGCTGAGATCCAAGATGAAGGAATGAGGAACCGCAGACGCCGCTGGCAAGGCCACGGTGACCTGGAGGAGGCGCGCCGGCGGGCATGTAGGCAGCCAAGGGCCCAAACCCCGCCAACAACAGGGCAGGTGCCAGGCTGGATACCCAGGCCTGGGCAGCACTCCTGGTAAAGACGGCCCTTCTCCTTTCACCCCCACGCTCACGCTCACCACGTCATTCCCATTGCTTGCCACACGCGTTCCATGTCCCTGGGGGCTGGGCCTCCGTGGTTCTTGTTTATCCTCTTCCTGCCTCCTCCTCATCGTCAGCATGTCACTCCCCTGCTTCCTGCCCTCCATCTGCCAGCCTCAGCCTGCAGCTTTGCATGCGTGAGGGCTGAAATGCAGGCTCGGCACTGCCCGGCTCCAGACTTTCTCGACCCACTCAGCTGCAAGGCGAGAGCTGTTTCCAAGATAAGGGTTAGAGGCTGTGAGCAAGGTTCGGAGCGAGCACGTCCAGCAAAGGTGAATTCCAGGGCCATCAGCATCCCAGCAGCTGAAGTTCCAAAGTCAGACCTCCCGAGGATGAAGGGCGCTTCTCCCTTAATTGCACTCCCACCCCCTTCTGTGTGTAAGACCCTGAGTGAGGGAAGAGGTTCCCAACACAACCTGGGCTGGAACTCTTAACACCCTCACCCCAGGCCAGCCACTGTCCTCAACTCAACTGTCCCATCCCGCTGCATAGAACGCGCCCTCCCTGGGCCTCTGTGTGCTGGGAATATGAGCTCCCCAGTCATGCCTCAGTGCCCTTGCACACCCTGTTCCTTCTCCCCGGAAGTGCTGGCCTGACTGCTCTGATTGTTGGCTTGCTCATCTCGAAAGACGGCCGGAACGGTCTGCAGCACCTCTACCCCATTCTTCCTGGCTAGTGCCAGCAGGATGCGGTCTTTCCAGTTTTTTTTTTTTTTTTTTTCTATTTGCCAGAGGGCATGCACACTCACCGGAAAGACAGAGAAGGAAGCCAGAGAGCACTCCTCACGAGCCCTGGTCATGCCGCAATCCCTTCTCCTCCATCTCTCCTTCCTTTGGGATTTTGGGCACTACACACAAGTGCTAGCACTTCTTTCAAGCTGTCAGTCAGAGATTCAAACCACACATTCAAGCCATGTCAGATCGCCCCTAGTCCCTTTTTTTTTTTTTTTTTTTGAGAGATTTTTTGCTATAGGGCATGTGAGTTCGCCAGAGAGAGACAGCAAGCAAGAAATCACCCTGGGGGATGGCCACACTGCAATTCCTTCTCCTTTGTTCTCCTCCAGGGATTTGGGGTGTGCACACATACACACCTGGTGTGAGTTTCGAGCTGCCGGGTCTGGGACTCGAACTGTGGTCAACCATGTGGGAGTCCAGAAGGACCACTATGGTATCTACCGGGTCCCCAGCCCTCAGTTTGGAACTGACATTTCCTGTTGACTCATCCCTTGAGTCTGCTGCTCCTCTGCCCACCTCCCCCCTGCAGGCAGCCCACTGGCCTACATGCCATCTCCCACTTCTCCAGGGGCACAGGAGGATGGCAGCTCCCCATCCCACTCATCCACTAGGTCCCCAGCAGCGACCACTCAGCCAAACATGGTGTCCAGGCCTTGGTTAGTCTTGGCGCCAAATGGGCAAGAGGATAATAAGATTGAGGGGGACACAATGTGTACAGAACTCACAGGAGGCCCCACTGAGGGCTCCATAAATGCGAGGAATGACTTTATTATAATCACAGAAAAAGCAGTGGATGAAAAAAGACTACCAGACCGGTGTTCTTGGTTATAGTCATTATTTTATAAAGTCTTATCAGATACAGATGCTCTCCCTCGCTCACACAGGCACCCTCCTGGGCAGGAGGTAGACCCCACCGACCCGTGGACCAGTGCCCCGTTCCTGCCGCCAGGTTGGGAACACGCATTCACAAGGGGACCCCCCCCAAAGTGAGGCCAGGCTCCCCGCTACGGGGGTGGGCCATAGGCTCTGCCGGGGACTGGGGACTGAGGCTCTGGTCCATCTTCTTGTCCATTCGCCCACCCTCTGAAAATGGGGCTGGCAGTGGAGGGAGTGGACAGACATCCACCTAGCAGAAAATGAAAGATTGAGACGTATAATAGCAGGGAGGGCAATTGTAGATACTAGAGACAGTATAGGAGGGGGTGATTAATAAGGGGTGGGCAATAGGGGATGGAAGGGAGGAGATCAAGGAAAAAAACAACACATTTAATAGATGCAAAAATGAAAGTTATCTGCTGATGATAATGTGTATAGTAATGTCTTTGATTTGACTGATATGCACTATATTCATACTGGGATAAAAACTATGTGTACATTATAAAGGTATACAGTGATCCACGGGTGGGTGGGTGGCTGGGCACCAGGACATCAGGACCTGCCCAGTCCAGCAACACATCTCAGGGTGGGCTCTTTGTAGGGAAGAACCAGAGAAGCTGGGGCAGAGTTAGGGTCTCTGGACCACCTAGGGCTCTACGTGGAGAGGTGGGTGGTTCTCCTGAGGCCAACCTCAAGGAGAATAAATAAATAAATACTGTACTACCTGTGCAGTCCCCAGCCTGGATCGCTGCCTTACAAGGGGACAGCCATGGTCCCTCTGGCCGCCACCCTCCCAGAGACAGAGGCCAGTTGGAGGTAGGGGCCTGCCCCACCCTAGGATCAAGAATCAGGGCAGGAAAGTCAACACAGTTTGGTGGCCAGGGCTGGGGTCAGCAGCTCAGGGGGCAAAACGAGGTCCTGCCTGTCCCCTCCTCTGGCATGTGGCTCACAACAATGGAGCCACCTGGGGCTGGGGGCACTGACCGCCAAGTTGGGTGACCCCTTTCCCGCACCCCCCTGCTTTGCTGGTCCTTCCTGGTCCAGCTTCCAGATGCACGAGGGCACTGGGTAGCCTGGAAGAGGGACGGTGGGAGCCCAAGTCCAGCTGGGGCTGGTGTCCCCTCCAGGGTGTGGCCGGGTGAGGCAAAGCAGGGTGCTTGGCCCAGTCAGAGCTGGAAGGGGTACTGTCGGAGGTAGTCGGCCATGCGCCGGGGCAGGGGTAGGCAGTCCACATCAGCCACCAGCCGGTTGATGACGAGGCGGCACAGGTGCTGCAGGCTGCGGGCGCTGCTCCTGCGCACAAAGGGCTGCACCAGTTTGAGATGCACGGCGGTGGCCGCAGGGGCAGGTAGTGCAGGGTCACCAGGCACATCTTCCTTAGGGACAGGCAGGGCCGGACTGGGAGCGGGATCGGGGCTGTCACTTCGGGTGTCACCAGCACAGGAGGCCACGTAGTGCTGCACGAGGCTGACCACGTCTGGGAAGGCCAGGATGCGTGGCCTGGACAGGCAGTTGGAGTCCAGGCGGAAGCTGGAGTCGGCGTACTCGATGCGCACGTTGGTGGGGCCGCGGGTGGTTTTGACTGACAGTGTGAACAGGTAGCTGGGGTGGGTGCTGTCCCGGACGAGGAATGTGCCCTCTGGCATCTTCTGCAGGTGTTGCCGGGCCTCACTGGCGGTAATGGAACCCCAATACCAGCCTAGGCAAGTAGAGAGGGGGCGAGTGAGAATTGGCTGGGGGCACCAACCCAGGGCAGCTCTGGGCCATGCCTCCCCATTTCCACTTCCCTGGGGGGGAACTGCACCTCTTCTATCAGGCCTTCCAGGCAGAGGACAAGGTCTGCCTTCCCCCTCAGACTCACCAGATTCCCGAAGGTAGGAGAAGGTCTTGGCTATGCACAGCAGATCCTCCTCGGGGTCCAGCACCTTTGGCTCACTCACTGGCTGGGCTGGGGTCTCCTCTGTCACCTCTTCCAGGAAGGCCCCGGCAGGCAAGGGCTGCATGGCTGGCTCAGGCAGCTCCACGGACTGGGTCCACAGTGGCCGCTGCCCAGTCCGCTCCACAGCCAGCAGAGGACAAGGTCTAGAAGGAAGGATGGGCTGTGAGTAGATCCCCCGTGCCTCCCCCTTTCCAGAGACCCTCCAACTCCCCAGACGAGCTTCACAACTTCTGGCTGGCCCAGAGCTCCAAGCCCGTTTCCCTTCTACCTACCTGGAGGCTCAATGAATCCACCTGTCATCCCCAAAGCCCCCTTTATTGCCTTCCCCGTGTGCAGACCCCGCCTTCATTAAACAGTAATTAATCTATTAATATTTTGCTTCGGCTGAAAACCAGGTGGCTCCCTACAGGCATTCCTAGAGTCCTCCCCACCTGGATGGGGTCCAGCACAAAGTGGACTGACGTCTGCCCGTCCTGGCTGAGATGGGCGATTCAGTGGCACTGGTCTGGGTTAGTTGTAGGTGTCCTTCAGTGGGGGGGGTCCTCCAGTGAGGCCCCAAGATTACAGCAGAGGTCTGGGGTCACATGCTGCCTCCCCATGGAGCAGAGTGTCTGTCGGAGGGACCTCGGTCCACCCTGAGGACTTGGAAGCTAAAACGATCCTCTATCATACAGGGCAACTGCCATCCTGGCCTCTGCTTCTCCCAGCTGAGGGCCGGGGACAGTGGTCTCTAAACCCTGGAAAGCCTGACTTCCCATAAATTCCAGAGCCCACCCTGGCCAGCCGCCTACCAGGTTTCCCAACCGCGTGCAAAGCTTGTGTCTGGCCTCGGTGTCTGCTACCCCAGTGAGGGCTCCACCAGCCCAGACACCGAGGGCTCGGCAAAACCATATTCTCGAATGAATGGCTGGGGTTGGGGGAACCAAACTGGTCAAAACCTGAGCAGTAGCTTCCTCCTAGGAGAAGCCCACCTGGCATAATGACCTGGGCTTCCTCCCTGGGAGTGGGGCAGGACTGGCTCTGTCCCCAAGGAAGAGACCATGGGTCTGCTCTCCCTCCCTACAAAACGCATGCCCAGGCCTCAGTGCTGAGTCTAGTCCCTGTGGAGCCTCAGGACACCAAGATAATGAAACTACCCACGGGCACTGCCCTGGCGAACCAGACTGGCTGGGGAAGGTGGCCCTCAGAGGATTCTAACCCGAAGTCATGGAAGCGCAGGGCTTGGGGGAGTTGGCGTCTGCTGCTCCGAGCTGAGCTGCCGGGGTGAGGGGTGCCAGGCATGTCTTACCAGGACAAGGAGCCAGAGCCGACAGTGTGCAGTGGCCCTTCAAAGGTTCTAGGGGCCCAGTGGCTACTCATGGGGAGAAGGGACCACATGACCCTGGCACGCTATACAGTTGCCAAGTGCTCTTCCACACCTACCCTGCTGGCACCACGGGCGCCCTGGCTCACGGGGGAGCCAGAGGACAGTTTTTTTTTTTTTTTTTGGGAGCGGGGGTGGGAGAGATTTTTGCTATAGGATGTGTGCACTCACCAGACAGAGACAGCAAGCGAGAATCCCCTCCCAGGGTCTTGGCTACGCCACAATCCCTTCTCCATTCTCCTCGCAGGATTTTGGGCACGCATGTACGCATGAGCATGAGTTTCAAGCCACTGGGTCTAGGACTTGAACCGTGGTTGGCCATGTGGGAGTTCAGCAACATAACCACTGTGCCCCTTGCCGGCCCCGAGGCCAGTTTTTTTTTTTTTTTAATGACCTAGAGAGATAGGTAGTTTGGGGCAGGGTCTCCTTCCTGCCTCAGCCCTGGTCAGCTAATACTACAGGCATGTACCAACGTACCTGGCTATTTAGGCTGGTTTAGGAACTGAACCCAGGCCTCCCCTGTGGCCCTAGCCATCACACAAAGGTGCCCTCCCACTCGTGCCACCACGGCTCAGTCCAGAGGCCAAATTTTTTTTTTTTTTGGAGAGGTTTTCGCTATAGGGTGCGTGCGCTCGCCAGACAGAGAGAGACATAGAGACAGAAAGCAAGACATCACCCCCCCAGGGGGGATGGTCACGCTGCGATCCCTTCTCCTCCATTCTCCTCTCGGGATCTTGGGCACACATGCACAGGCACCCGGCGTGAGATTTAAGCCACCGGGTCCGGGATGCGAACCGTGGTGGACCACGTGGGAGTCCAATGACATAGCCATTATGCTAACTGCTGGTTCCCCAGAGGCCAAATTTTGAGGTGACTTGCCCACTGAGGCCCAGTACTGTCCAGGAGCATAGTAGGTAGCTAGCTGGCCAGGCCCCCATGCCTCTGGGGGTATCCACGTCCAGACAGCCTCTAGGACGGCCGGCTGCGGGGTGGACCCCTAAGGAGCTCACGGGGTGTCTGGGTATGTCATGGGTCGTGGCTGTGTTGATCCCCACAGGCTCCTGATGAGTGACTGTGTTTCTGGGCAGGGGTTTGTCCATAGTTGTGTCATCGTCATGGTGAGGGCGGTGTTCCAGGTACCTGTGTGTGTCTGCTGTGAAGCCTGACAGTCCTGTCTGTGGACACATGCCAGTGGGGTGAGCTCAGCCCTGGGGGAGTTCCTAAGGGGAACCCCCTGAGCAGAGCTGACAGCCCAGACGTGCCCTCCAACCCAGGAGGGCACCAGCTGTTCTGTGGCTGTGTGTGTGCAGTGGGGGGATGGGTCTATTAAAAACCAACACCTAAGACTGACCCTGAGTTTCCGAGGGGGCTAGGAAAAAGTGAAAGTGGCTATGACAGCCCAGAAAGGGGGATGGGGTGTTCCTGAGAAGGAAGGCAGTGGTCAGGGCAGGTTTCAGGAACCCCATATTCAGAGAGGAGGAAGGAATGAGTGAGGGAGCAGTCTTCCCGGAACCTCCAAGTCCTTGTCTCTGGACCGAGCCCTGCCCGAGCAAGGGGCACTTGGGCCTGGCCCCACCTTGCACCCTCCCTCCCTTGGCATCACGCCAGTTTTGATAACAGCAGCCACTGGGCCACTCAGCCCTCCCTGGGCGTGGAACACGCACTTATTCCTCCTTCCTCCATCCTTGGAGCTTCCTGCACTCCTGTCAGATCAGCGTGAGAGCAACGGGTTCAGGAGGGTGCTGAGGCTCAGGGTGGCGTGGACGTGCCAAGGATGTTCAGCCGAGGCCAAGGCGGTCTTACCAGCACCCCTCCTTCCCCGACCCCCACACAAGTCTCTGAAAAAGGGAGACAGGCACCAAGGCCCTTCGCATACTGGGATCCCAGACTGAGCTGAGCAGAGGGTTGAGGGGACTATGGGGTGCCCCAGACAGGATCAGGTCAACCCAGGCTCTCCCAGAGTGGCTGCTTTCTGGTGCAAGCCTGGGGAGAGAGCTCCCAGCTGGCGGCCCAAGAAAAGCCTAACTGCTAGCCCGGGGCAGGAGAGGAGACACTGGGGCAGAAAGGTAGGGGCTGCCCAAGGTCACCAGTAGGCCAGACAGTAAGTTAGGGGAGAGCGCTGGGGTCTGGGCTGGTGAGTCACGTCTAGGAGGCCAACCTTCCCTCCCTTCCCCGGGAGTCCACCTGCTCCAGCGAGAATCCCGTCTGAGTCCTTCGCTGGCCAGCGCCGTTCCCCAACTCAGGTGCGAGTAGAGGTGAGTGTGAGTGTGTGTGTGTGTGTGTGTGTGTGCGCGCGCGCGGTGACGGGTGTCACAGTCCTATACAGTGCCGCACTCCCAAGGTCCTTCAGCACTCGGTCACCTCGGGCCCGCCAAGCCCTCCCAATGACCCGCAGCTAGCACGAGGCCCGAGCTCTCTGATGCGCCAGCGCGGAAGCTGGCAGCGGACGGAGAGAAGCGCTTACCCCTGAACGCAGAGGACCATGTCCCGGCGGCGGCAGTGGCAGTGGCGGCAGTGGCAGAGGCGGCTCCGGAGTGGTGACAGCGGAGGGAGAGTGCGAGCAGGGCAGGCTCCTGGGTCGCACTGGCTGTCTTTTGTCCGCCGCGTTCCAGCCCTTCCCGGAAGCGGCGACTTCCTAGAACCACAGCCTGCGCAGTGAGGCCCGGAGGGGTGTGGGGGCGCAGGTTTCGGGCACCGGCACCAGCGTCTGGGGCCTCCGGCAGTGAAAGGAAACACCTTTGACAGATTTCCAAGAACTTTCCAGGAAAACTAGGCGGGGCCCCGCTAGCAGACCAATAGTAGAGCAGGAGGTGGAGCCGAGTGGCCGGGGAGGACCAATCGCAGAGCGTGGACCCAGGATTACGTCACAAGAGGGGCGGTCCGAGAGACCAGTAGGGAAAAACCAGGTTAGGGGAGGTTAAGGAGGGGCCTGCGCTCTGGCAACCCAAGGCCAGATTGCCTTCCGGCATTCCGCGTCTCTTGGGACCGGCCCCCTTATCTCACCCTCGAGCCAGTGGCAGCGCGGGGGCGAGGTCCTGGGTCTGTCCTCCCTGCTGGCGCTCCCCGAAGACAGACTCGGAGTGTGCAAGCGCCTTCGTGGTGCCGCGCCTGGCCCCCAGTACCCTGTGAGGTGCGGGGGAGGTAGGTGGCATGGGGTGGGGTCTGGAAAAGGACACAGGTGAGGGGTGGAGTGCAGAGGGTGGACCCAGAAAATAAGCAAGTCCCTGGGGTTGAGTCTGCCATCATAACAACCAAAAGGATCCAGGCAAGATTGTTTACTTAGAGTCAGGAGAGAAGGCACATCTAATTTGCGTCAGGCGGAACCATGCAGTCTCGCCAGCGCTGGCCTCTGGCAGCCTCGCCTCTCAGGAAAAAGTGAATACCAACCTGAAGAGGCAGTCGGGGACAGTCAGATCCCAGAGAATACTGTCCCTGAGTTGGCGGGCCCTCAAATAATACTAGGAGAGACTTGGAACTCTGAACACCTGGAGTTAATCTGAAGGTAGAGTACCAGGTAGCTGGGGCTGAGCAGTGATACTCGCTCCCATCTTCACAAAGTACTTGCTACTTGTGATCCTCAGCAATGGGCATTGTCCCCATTATGCAGATGAGAAGCCAGAGCTCCAGGTGATGAAATGCAAGGACCAGAGTTGAGCCCCACTCTGAGTCAGAAGCCCACATTCCTACTACCACGACTCTCTTCACACCTTTCATTTCGCTGACTCACCAAGAGCACCTAGGAATGGATAGTGAGTGTGAACCTCCTCCAAACCCTTGGGCCAGAAGGCTGGGAGAGAGAGGGCATTTGGAGAGGTGGCCCAGTGGGGTCCTCACATTCCACAGTAAGGAAGGGTCCAGTATGGGGCAGAAGACAAAGGGGACCTGAAAGCAAAACCCTCTGAAATAGGGAAAAAAATCATTTGTTAAGATGAGAAGTCATGGATCCAGCAAATGGCATAGTGGTTACATTGCTGGACTCCAACATGGCCAACCATGGTTTGAGACCCAGACCCAGTTGCTTGAAAATCACGCTGGGCTTGTGTGCATGCATGCCCAAGAGGCTGGGAGGAGAATGGAGAAGGGGTTGTGGCATGGCCATCCCCTCTGCGGGGTGACTTCTTTTTTTCTTTTTAATGAAGAAACTGAATATTTTATTATTTCATATTTTTTTTGCAAAGCTGTTGCCTCAACTGTGTAAAATAGCACCAGCAAATGCAATATATTGCAAAACTAAAATAGTACTGTTCTTTAACACTATACAACTAACAGGAACTTTTCTCTACTACCAGTTATTTCCAATGGAGAGACAATGAAGTATCCTTTTTTGTTGTTTTTGGAAGAGTTTTTGCTATAGGGCGCGTGCGCTCGCCAGAAAGACAGAGAGAGACAGACAGAAAGCGAGGGCCCTACACCCCTCCCCCCATTTTCCAGGTGTTGGTTACCTGCCAACTCCTAGGCCTCCTTCAGGATCCAGCATTAAGGTCCTCAGTGACACCTCCCTGCTCCCAGGCCAATGTCAGAATGCCATGGGTGTCCCCTGGTCACATCCCTTAGGGAGCTCAGTGATTAGACAGTTCTGTGCCCAAACCAAAGAGTTCCAAGAGTTTACGCCCTCCAATCCGCTCCCATCTTCACAAAGTACTTGCTACTTGTGATCCTCAGCAATGGGCATTGTCCCCATTATGCAGATGAGAAGCCAGAGCTCCAGGTGATGAAATGCAAGGACCAGAGTTGAGCCCCACTCTGAGTCAGAAGCCCACATTCCTACTACCACGACTCTCTTCACACCTTTCATTTCGCTGACTCACCAAGAGCACCTAGGAATGGATAGTGAGTGTGAACCTCCTCCAAACCCTTGGGCCAGAAGGCTGGGAGAGAGAGGGCATTTGGAGAGGTGGCCCAGTGGGGTCCTCACATTCCACAGTAAGGAAGGGTCCAGTATGGGGCAGAAGACAAAGGGGACCTGAAAGCAAAACCCTCTGAAATAGGGAAAAAAATCATTTGTTAAGATGAGAAGTCATGGATCCAGCAAATGGCATAGTGGTTACATTGCTGGACTCCAACATGGCCAACCATGGTTTGAGACCCAGACCCAGTTGCTTGAAAATCACGCTGGGCTTGTGTGCATGCATGCCCAAGATGCTGGGAGGAGAATGGAGAAGGGGTTGTGGCATGGCCATCCCCTCTGCGGGGTGACTTCTTTTTTTCTTTTTAATGAAGAAACTGAATATTTTATTATTTCATATTTTTTTTGCAAAGCTGTTGCCTCAACTGTGTAAAATAGCACCAGCAAATGCAATATATTGCAAAACTAAAATAGTACTGTTCTTTAACACTATACAACTAACAGGAACTTTTCTCTACTACCAGTTATTTCCAATGGAGAGACAATGAAGTATCCTTTTTTGTTGTTTTTGGAAGAGTTTTTGCTATAGGGCGCGTGCGCTCGCCAGAAAGACAGAGAGAGACAGACAGAAAGCGAGGGCCCTACACCCCTCCCCCCATTTTCCAGGTGTTGGTTACCTGCCAACTCCTAGGCCTCCTTCAGGATCCAGCATTAAGGTCCTCAGTGACACCTCCCTGCTCCCAGGCCAATGTCAGAATGCCATGGGTGTCCCCTGGTCACATCCCTTAGGGAGCTCAGTGATTAGACAGTTCTGTGCCCAAACCAAAGAGTTCCAAGAGTTTACGCCCTCCAATCACCTTTTGCAGCCTTGAAAGCACTGTGCACCTCACCTGCATGTGGGTGACAGCGGTACACCCTGCTCTGCCCAGGTTCCTGCCGCCTCTGGCATTGTGGGTACTAGGGCCATCTTCTTGTCTCTCCTGCTGGGTTGCTCTCAGCGAGCTCCGCTGTGACTGCTGGGCCTACACTGCCACCCAGAGGTGCTCCCTCTCATCGCCTCACTAGCCGAATCTCCAGTCTTCAGAATACCCATCCTTTCCTTTCAAGGCCACACTACAGACAACACAGGACGGGTGAGCCCAGACGGGTCAGGCCTGAGGCCAGCAGCTACCATGGCAAAGCCCCCATTCATCTCAGGGGTTGCCCTTGCCCCTCCCCAGAGCAATCATAATTGAGACACAAGAGTACACGCAGCACCATCCTCAAAGCCTGGCTCTGGTCTCGATCCTCTCACCATGTGCAGCCTCCACTTTCCCTGAAGGACAGTCCACATGTATTGTGAGCGTGTGGGGGGTATTCAGCCCCTCTCACTCAGGCGCTCCCTGGGCCCCCATGTCACTCTCACCATTTCAAAGGCCCTGGTCTCAGTCCCTGGTTCACCCCGCTGTGTGGAGGGCTATGTGACAGACTCTGCTCCCTGCCCACCCTGCGCGGCTCAGCCACTCGCTCACGGCCCCAGCAATGTGAAGGTGGATGTGGCAGGTGGTGTCTGGAACATGAGCACCAACGGGACCACATGTGCTGGCTGTCGTGGGCTAAGCAGGCAGTTGCAAAACCCCCATCTGTGGTGGACTCCTGGGGGAACGTGTGTGCTGTGTGAACGTGCGCGCTGGTTGTGGGACAGGAGTGGATGGGCATCACCACTGCTCACTTCCCACACTCCTGTGGTTCAATTCATTACAAGAAGCAACATTTTTTTCAGTGATAGTGCAAGAGAAAGAGCCAAAGAAGAACTCTTGACAGGGTCTTGTCATACGTGCTCCCCTCTCCCCAGCCATCCAGCTCCTCAGGATCCTGGGTGCATACACACAGCTGGCACGTTTTCAAGCTGACCCAGGGATCCAAACCCACAGCCAGCCATATGGCATCCAGGGTTGCAGGGTACTGGTATTATGGTTGTACCACGATGTCTAGGCTCCTAACTCCATTTTTTAAAAAAAGTTTATTTATTCATCCATTTATTTTTAATTTGACAGAGAGACAGAGAGAGAGAGAGAGAGAGAGGAAGTGAGAAAGCAAGCCACCAGGTCCGGGAATCGAACCATGGTCAGCCATGTAGGAGTGTCCAGCACCCCAACTACCATGCCACCTGCTGGTCCCCCCAACTCTATTTTTTAAAAAGAATTATTAAATTAAATTTAATTAATTAATTAACTTATTTTAACCTGAACAGAGAAGGACAGAATGGGAGGGGGGGAGTGAGAAAGCAAGCCACCAGGTCTGGGACTTGAACCACGGTCAGCCATGTGGGAATCCAGAATCCAGTGCCCTTAACCACCATGCCACCTGCCAGCCCCTCCTAACTCCATTTTTAAGGAAAAAAAAAATCGGAGCTGGGATGAACCGTGCTCACAGTGCATGCAGGGAAGCTGAGCCAGAGCTGGAGCCATGGGCGTGTGGGCTCACCAGAGAGGCAGAGAGACAGACAGAAAGTGAGAAATCACCTGCCTGGGGAGATGGCCTTGTGGCCCCTTCTCCTACACTCTCCTCTGGGGATCTGGGTGGGTGGGTACAGGCTCCAGGCGCCAGTACAGTGGTAGCAGCTGGACTGACCATTGCTGCAGCTGGATTTGCAGGTCGTTATGTTTTGCAAGCCATGGAGTCTCAAGTAAAACAAGTTTTGGGAACCAGCAGTTAGCGTAATGGCTATGTCGCTGGATTCCCACGTAGTTGACCGCGGTTCGCGTCCTGGACCCGGTGGCTTAGAACTCACGCCGGGCGCGTGTGCGTGCGTGCCCAAGATCCCAAGAGGAGAATGGAAGAGAAAGGATTGCGGTGTGACCATCCCCCCTGGGGGGTGATTTCTCGCTTTCTGTCTCTATGGCTCTCTCTGTCTGTCTGGCGAGCGCATGCGCCCTATAGCGAAAACCTCTCAAAAAAATAAATAAATAAATAAAATAAAACAAGTTTTTCCAAGTGTACTGAAATCTGCTTTCAGTGGTGGCTATTACGGAGGTGGATTTGAACTCAGAATGACAAAATGGGAAGCAACATTAATATTAGGGGTAAGCCCTACTGCTAATAAAGGAAAAATAAGAGATGCTTATTGGAGAATTAGGCTTTTAAATCATCCAGATGAAGGAGGATCTCCTTCTATAGCAGCCAGAATCAATGAAGCTAAAGGTTTACTAGAAGGTCAAGCTAAAAAATGAAGTAAATGTATGATTTTAAGTTCATATTAGTTTATGTATGTGAGTATCAACTTTTTACAATGAAATGCCTCAGAGCTGTAATTTAAACATTTAAAAAATGTTTATTTATTTAATTCCATTTGCTATTATTATTTTTTAGTTTGACCAGACAGAGAGGAAAGGAAAGCGAGAAAGCAAGCTGCCAGGTCCGGGGCTAGAACAGTGGCCAGCCATACGGGAATCCAGTGCCTTCCATCACCATGCCACCTGACGGCTCCAGAGCTGCAATTTTTAAAAAATGACTTAACACATGCTAAGTCAGTCTTAGTATAAGTTTGATTAAGTTTGATGATTTTAAACCAACTACAGACTAGGATATTTAGCAATTCTCAGTAACTATGGACAAATGCTTATCGTTTGAATAGATGCATTGCTCATTAAGTAAATAACTTGGTACCTGTGTATACTTTTTAAAGGCAGAGTGAAGACAACCCTTGCTCTCAAGGAGCCCGTAGGCTAGTGGGAGACTGACAAACTAGTGATTAAAATATGTAATAAATGTTATAATGGACTTGGTGTAGGGACTGATTGGGAGGAAAAGTTGTTCAAGGTATAGACAAACGGTGTAGCTACTTGGAACCTTGTATATAATGGGGAATTTAGCCCTGATTGTGACTTTAAAAATTCTTCTCTCATACATTTTCTCATGGAGTATGGGCTTCTCCCTTGGCTGGGATAAGGACCCAGCTCCTTCCTCCCCCACTGGCCCCCTGCTCACGCATGGAACACTGGTCATCCAAAATGAGACTTTATCACCATCAGGTTCACTGCTTGCCTCCAGAGGGGGCAGCCTCCCAGCAGTAGAAGCTTCTGGATCACACAGAGTGTCTTAGTCAGTTATTGCGTTGCTAAGAGTAATGACCGAGACTGATGAGTTATAAAGAAAACAGAGGCTTATTCATAAAACTCACAATTCTGGTGGCTGGAAAGTTGAAAGTCACCACAAAACAGCAGAAGGTAGAACTCAAAGCAGAGCAGAGCACGGCCTGTACCCATGTGTTTCTCTCTGCCTCATTTCTTCTCAGATACGCCCCTAAACTCAACCACGGGGGACCCATCCGAATGCCAAAAAGTCTCATGAAGAAATGAAGTTTTCATTTAACACCCTCACAATACAATCAAATCTCAAGCCATGAATTTTTAGGGAACATGCAAAATCAAAAACACGAACCTTTGGGGGGCAAACTTTAATACAGGGCTTCTTCCAAGGCTCTGAGACCTGGATCGAATTCCCAAGCGGGGCTCAGGCACATTGATCCCGGGTGCAGCTAGGCATGAGTGGGGGTGTGCATGCATGCATGTGGACATGCATGCCCACATGTAATCAGGTCTGTGTGCAATGTATAAATGTGTGTGTGCATGTGCATGTCTGCATATGTGTAGGGAGGCAGGGAGGACCCGAGGTTGTGCCTTGGGTTTGGAATGGGGGCTCTGTCATGGGACCAGGATGCTTGTGGACCTGGGGCAGGATGTTTGACCTCCCTGGGCTTGTTTGTCCTGTGTGTCTATAGTGTGGACCAGAAAGGATCAGTACACATTCTCTCCCTCGTTCTCGGTGAGGGCATGGGGCCCCTGGCGGAGCACCTACCCAGCCACTGATCTGCAAAGACGGCTCAGTGGTCAGTGGAGGCTGTCTGAGGGTCCTGCTTCTCCAAGCTGCCAGCCCTAAGGTCGTATGGAGGAGACAAAGGCACAGCCCCCAAACAGCAGGGCTCGCTTAACGCCTGCACAGAGTGTGCCTGCCAGTGGTTGTAGCACGTCTTCACTCATTCTCCACTCACTCCTCAGGGAACTGGCATCAGCACCCAGGAGGCAGGAGAAGAAGAGGCATAAGTTCCTGATGTACAGGAGCTCTGATGAACCCGGAAGTTCAGTCTAAGTGTGTCTGTGTGTCTGTCTGTGTGTACATGTGTGCGGCGGGTTGGGAAGAAGGTGTTCTTGGGGCCCCAATTTCGAAGCCAGGAGTAGGACAATTCCAGGATGCTCTGGGTGGGACCAAGGTCGCAGTACCTGCAGTACTGCTGATGGACTCTAGATGACAGCAGAGGCCCGCGCTGAGATCTTGCCCTGTGCCACACCTTCCCGGTGCCAGCCTGCCACCTTGCTCTGGTCCCTGAGCTTCCGGGGCGGGAGGGTGGGGGACGTTAGGGACTAGTGCAGATTTGTCCCGGGAGGCAGCCGCCTGTGGCTCTAGACAAGTTGTTTCCTTTCTGGTGGTGGTGGGGAGTGTGTCTCAATTTCCTCATCTGTAAAATGAGGGTTAACAGCCTGTGTTGGAAAAACTCTCCAAACGTGTGCGGTAGGAAGTGCTGAGAATGAGGTAAAGATCCAAATTTGGAAGAGAGGACTCCAACGCTGAAAATTGTCACTGGGGAGAGAAGCGGAGACTTTTTAAACACGACCCTAAAAGTCCAAACCATAAAGTGAAAAGTTGATGGGTATGACCAAATGGGAACTCAGGATTTTTAGTCCAAGGACTCTCTACCAGGGGTCTTTAAAAACTTCGTGGAAAATCAGTATTATAAAAATGTATACATAGACTTCTCTCTCTCTGTCTCTCTCTCTTTGTACCAAAATAGACTTGTATTTGAATTCCATTTTTTGGGGGGAGAGGGGTGAACTTTTGAAGTCCCCTCGTCTGCACGACAAGGGGGTTAAATGAGCCAAAGAAATGAGCAGGAGAGACACAGGAAAGTCCCTAGACCGAGAGAGACTCCCAGAGCCACCAGGGACTAGACAGTCGCGAGTCTATTAATAGCAGTGAGATGCCACTTCCGTCCGCATTTAGCAATAAGAAAGAAGTTGGGTTTGCTGGCGGTTGGCCACCGCTAGGGAAGTCGGAAGTCTAGCAAGCCATCCTGGAGGGCATCCTGGCAGCGTGCAAAGAAAACACCGACTCAAGCGGATACTTTAAGAAAAACAAGACGTCCCGCGCTGTCACTTTCGAGGTTGCAGGTACAATCTGCTGCTGGCTCTGCCCGGGACAGCTAGTGCAGGAGTCTCCCGGGAAGCCGGGGAGGTTCCCGCCCCCTCGGAAAGCCACGCCCCCTTCTCCCTGTTCCGGGGCGGGGCTCGCCAGGGGCTCAGCCCGGGCCCGCCTGGCCCTTTAAGGCTGACCTAGCGGGGCCCCAAGCCTGGCTGACGCTCGGGAGGGGCGTCACGTGGGTCGCCGGCCGCGCAACTCTCGGCCCTGGGCGCTCCGCGGTCACCCGCTCCCGCGACCGCCGTCCCTGCCCCTCGTCGGCGCCACAGGTGCTTTGCCGCCAAGCGCTCCCGCGCCAGGTACGCCGCGTCCCCCGGGCTCCCTCTGCGGCCGGCTCCTGGGACCTCGCGGCCACCTGGCTCTCGGCCCCTTCCCCCTTGACACGTGCTCGGGCGGGCCTGGCTGTTGCCCGACCGCGAGACCACCGCCCCCTGCCCGCATCCGCGCTCTCAGGAGGTTCGCCCCACATTCAAGCCTGTCCCAGGCCCGCAGCCCAGCCCGTCTCAGGGCCGTCAAGATTGGGGTGCCCTCGAAGAGTCTGGGCGAGGCTCACTCTTTC